CCTCCCACCCACATTCCCCTCTTTAATTCATGTTCATGGGTGGTACATGTAAGTTCTTTGGCTTCTACATTTCCCATACTATTCTAACCCCCCTTCTATTTTCTACCTACCATTTATGCTACTTATTCTCTGTACCTTTTCCCCCCTCTCCCCTTCCACTCCCCTGTTGATAACCCTTCATGCGATCTCCATTTCTGTCGTTCTGTTCCTGTTTTAGTTTGCTTTGTTTTTGTTTTTGTGTTAAGTATGCTTGTTAATAATTGCATGTTTGTTGTCATTTTTACTGTATATGTTTTTCATCTTTTTCTTAGATAAATCCCTTTAACATTTCATATAATAAGGTATGAGTGATGATGAACTCCTTGAACTTGACCTTATCTGAGAAGCACTTCATCTGCCCTTCCATTCTAAATGAAAGCTTTGCTGGATAGAGCAATCTTGGATGTAGGTCCTTGCATTTCACGACTTGGAAAATACTTCTTTTCAGCCCCCTTCTTGCCTGTAAGGTCCCTTTTGAGAAATCAGCTGACCGTCTGATTGGAACTTTTTTGTAGGTGACTGTCCCTTTATGTCTTGCTGTTTCTAAAATTCTCTCCTTCATTTTAATTTTGGCTAATGTAATTATGATGTGCCTTGGTGTTGTTCCTCTTTGGGTCCACTTTCTTTGTGACTCTCTGAGCTTCCTGGACTTCCTGGAAGTCTATTTCCTTTGCCAGATTGGGGAAGTTCTCCTTTATTATTTGTTCAAATAAGTTTTCCACTTGTTGCTCTTCCTCTTCCCCTTCTGGTACCCCTATAATTCAGATGTTGGCATGTGTAAAGATGTCCTGGGGGTTCCTAAGCTTCTCCCCCTTTTTTTGAACTCGTGTTTCTTCATTGTTTTCTGTTGGATTGTTTCTTTCTTCCTTCTGGTCTACTCCATTGATTTCAGTCCCAGTTTTGTTTCCATCACTATTGGTTCCCTGTGCATTTTGCTTCACTTCACTTTGTGTAGCCTTCATTTTTTCATTTAATTTGTGGCCAAAATCAACCAGTTCTGTCAGCATCCTGATCACTAGTGTTTTTAACTGTGCATCTGATAGGTTGGCTACCTCTTCATCACAGAGTTGTATTTTTTCTGGACTTTGATCTGTCCTTTCATTTGGGCCATTTTTTTTTTGTCTTGACACACCTGTTATGTAGTGAGGAGCAGAGCCTTTGGTGTTCACCAGGGCGGGGTAACCCACGTCGCTTCATGGTGATGCTGTGTGTGGGGCAGTGGTCTGAAAGGGAACAATGGCACTTGGTCCGCTGTCTGCTGGATTTCAGTCACTGCCCCCTCTTCCCACAAGCAAATTTGGCTCTTCTGGTGCTGATTCTCATGTGGATGGTTTTGTATACATTCTGGGATCCTGTGCGTCTTTCCAACAAACTCTCCCGTGAGGCTGGGAGTTTCTCCTGGCACCTCAGCATTCACAGTTGTTTTCAATGAGTGATTTGAGGCTTTATTTTCCCATGCTGCAACCTTCCGTTGCAGGTTCTGTCCCACTACCCAGTTTTACCTGGTTTATCTGCACGCGAATGTGGGACTGCCCTGTCTGCCAGCCTCCTTGTGTGCTGCTTCCCGCTCCACAATCTGCTACCTTGCTGGGTCTGCCAGTTTCTGCTTTGTCGGGAGTACTCTTTGCCCTGACTGCCCATCTCCACCCCTCCTACCGGTCTGGATGAATGTGTCTTCTTTAACTCCTTGGTTGTTGGACCTCCATACAGTTTGATTTTATGTCAGTTCTGGTTGTTTTTTGCTTTTAAATTGTTGTTGTCATTCTTTTGGTTATGTGTGGAGGCACAGTGTGTCTGCCTACGCCTCCATCTTGGCCAGATGTCTGGAATTTTGCCATTTTAATTAGAAAATGTCTTAAAGTGGGTCTCCTTGGGTCCCTTTTGATTGGGACTTTCCATGTTTTCTGGTTTTGTGTGACTTTTTCTCTCATCAAATTAGGTAAGTTTTCCATCATTACTTTTTCATACACGTTTTCTGTTGCTTTTCTTCTCCTTCCGGTATCCCTATTATATGGATATTATTATGTTTCAATTTGTCCTGCATTTCCCTTAACCCCTCTTTGTTCTTTCTGAGTCTCTTTTCCTTTCTTGGGTGCTTTTAGTCTCTATGATATTTAATTCTGCATTTTCCTTAACCTGTCTTCATTCCTTCTGGGTCTCTCTTCTATTTCTGGGTGCTTTAAATATTTATGTCTTTTAATTGTGCTCTGCTCTTCATTATTTCCTTCCTTCTACTTGCTGTGGGCTTTGTTTGTTGTTCTTCTAGTTTCCTTGGTTTTTTGGGGTATTTTTTTGTACCCTGTCCTTTAGCTTGCTCATTTGATCCTCTGCGTTGTCTAGTCTGATTTTGATTCCTTCTACTGTGTTCTTCAATTCAGAAATTTTATTGTTCACTTCCTCTTGGCCTTTGGTGATAATTTCTGTTTCCTTTTTCATGTTGATATAGTTTGCAGTGAGTTCATTGTAGTTTCCCTGTAGTTTTTGGTAATTCTATGTGAGCTCATTGCACTTCCTTATAACTATTGCTTTGAACTCAGTATCTGATAGTTGACTTGCCTTTATTTCCTTTAGCATTCTTTCTGAGACTTCCTCCTTTCCTTTTATTTGGGGATAGTCTTTGTCTTCCAATTGTTCGTGAGGCTCTTCTTGTTAGCCTCTGCTTCTTAAATTAATCTGTTCTCACTCCCTGGGTTTGTGGTCTGAACGTCTTTGGCAGAAGACCTGTGAGATTCAGTAGTGCAGTTTCCTCTGTCTCCTGAGCTTGCTGGTCTTGAGTTGACATTTATGTTGGCTCTCTGGATTTCTTTGGGTTTTGATTGTTGTTGGGTCTTTCTTTGGTGCATCCTTACCTCCAGCTGGTTAATTGAGTGTCATTCTGTCCACCACATCTTGTGTTCTGTTGTGCAGGTGTGAACAGGTTGTATTGTAGCTGGTTCTTCTACCTATATGAGGTTTTGAGGCTTTTCTCTCCTTCTTGTTCAGTTGTTTGTTCTTGTCAATTTCTCCACCCTTTAGTTGTATTTCCAGATTGTTCCTGGGTGGAGGGTAGTGTGGCTTCCACTCATTCTTTTTCCTTTTTCATTATCTGTTGGTGGTTCCTGTGTTGGTGGGTTTCCTCTTCCAGCAAGTATCCTGGTGTTCCCAAGTCTCACCTTCTCTTTTTTGTGATCAGATGGAGGGGGAAGGCAAAATGGATGAAGACAGTAGGAGTGTATTCTATGGTTTTTAAAGTACCAAGCTGTAAAGAAGAGATAGGAGATTCTTTGGATATGTATCGTGTTAACCATAATATTTTATCCAACTAGCCACTTTTTAGAAATGGTGGAAAAAGATAAGACTCTAGTTAGGGGCAAAAGGATTGCCAGTTGGACGTAGAAAGCAGTGAGCTTGTGGAAGGTCAGATTATGAGATAAAGTGAGAAGAAAGGATAGAAAATAGGTGTAGTGTGTGAAAGAAGAGAGTTAACCATAACAATAATAAAGTTAATAAAGTTCCAGAAACAGTGAAGTGAGCTAAGATCTGGGAGTGGTTCTGTGTAGTATTTACAATTATATGGAACACCAATTATTTACAGTAGTAATGGAGCAACAATCATATAACAGAATCTATGTGATCTGTATAACAAGAATAGGAGCTACATGACCTAGAGTGGTGTGCTATTGAAACACAAGCAAAAGGAGGAAAATTAAAAATACACTATGAAAGAGAGAACAAGGAAAACCAGTCAAACTATGCAATTTAACAAACCAAGGGAAGAAGACTAAACAGAAAGTAGAGAAATAAAAAATACTAATAAAATAAAAGATAAAAAAACTACAGTACAAATACACAATTACTTGCAAGTTCTCTGGAGTAGCAGTGAAATGTGTTTCACTGTCTCAGTTGTTGGGATGACCCCTCTTTGTGTCTAACTCTAGTCCTTTCACAACTCCCCGTTTTATTGTCTCACTTGGAATTAAAAAAAAAAGGAAGAAGAAAAAAAGAGAATAGCCTCCTGCTGGCTTTAAACCAACTCAGCCAGTTCTGCTGGTCTTCCTGGCTGCAGCAGGCTGGTGGGGTGGTGGGGAGAGGGTTGGAAATTGGGGATTGGTTTTGCTGTTCTCCCTTCTTGTGGTTTTGCCCAGATGGGGGTTAGGTCTAAGCCACTCTCTTTGCAATTGCCCAGCTCGAGCCCAGTTGCTCAGTTCATTGCTGGCCCTCAGTGCCCTTCTGCTCCTGCACTTTGCTTTCAGTCCACCAGTAGTGCTGGTGCACCAATTAGGGGCAACTCATACCACCTTCTTGTTCTCTGCTGTCCTAGATGCTAGGGACTCTTAGAGTCTCTTCTAGTTCGGCTCCCCCACTGATTTAAGTCTTTCTGGGGATTGCTGACCCCTTGAGCCCTGCTGCTTTCTTCTGGGGGGGGCATCTTTGCATTTCTTTTACTGCCAGTCAACCCGATGGGCCAGGGCACTGCCATGAAAGCGGCAGTAGAACAGGTGTGTGCCTCTGCTACTGCAGCAGGTGTGGTGGGGTTTGGTCCATGGTTCCTCTGGGCAGTGGGGTCAGGCGCATGCCATCCCTGGTGTTGCGGGGCCCCCCGCTGCTGTGGTGGGATTGCAGCCACTGGGCTTGTGGGGCCAGGTACTACCATTTCTGGGGCTGTGGGGGCGAGCCAGGGGCCTCTGCTGCTGCAGCAGGAGCAGTCATCTGGCAGTGGTGTTAGGCCCTTGCCACCTTCCACAGCTTTGGCAGCCACAGTGGGCAGGAGGGGAGCAGCGGATTGATCGGTGGCGCACCATTGGGGCCACTGAGGCTGGGGCTACAGTAGGGGCACAGCAACGGTTCTGGCAGCAAGAGACAGTCCCACAGCAGAGGCTGCGGGGGCGAAGCTGGGGGAGGTGGTGGTGGCTGCAGCAGGAGAATTACCTAAAAAGCCACTGATTGCCTTTTTTTTTTTCTTTTTGAAAAAATTCCTCCAGTTCAAGCCTGCCTCTCCAGGTAAGCACCAGGCCTCACACATCCCAACTCTCCAACCAAACAGGGGGACTATCTGGGTCAGGGCCCATCACCACCAAACCCTTCCCAGCTGTCTTCCACTGTTCTACTATTTTTGTTTTTAGTTCGAATTTCTGGCTTAAATGAAACATCAAGTAAACAATGGTTAAATTCTTTGGCCAGTTTTTATTTCCCAGTTCATTAATTCGTTTAACAAATACCTGTTAAGTACTACTGGGTACCAGCTGGTGACTGTTACAGGTGTTGTAAATGAAACAGGAAATAATGCATGCCAGAATCCCCATCTGGTGGGGGCTTGTATACTGGTGAGTGGAGGTAAACATTAACAATAGATATCTGAAAGGTGGTAGGTGGCAGGAAGAGGAGATGAAGAAGGGCAGAGAGAAGATAGACACAGGGAGGGGGAAGTAAGGAGGGTGGGGAACTGGTTGGGAGCAGAGAAGGGGATATACCATTAAGGTTAGTTGTCTTGAATTTTAAGAAGAGACACAATTTAGGCCACATTGTGAATTAAAATTTTTACTTACTAAATAATGCTACCTTTATTTGAAAGAGATTAGGGGCCCCAAACATTTCTTGCCTAGATGAGTTGAGTTTTCTTAACTATATTTCTTACTCTAAAACTCTTTCTCTGCTGAACTTGGTACCAGTCACATCCAGCCTGTTTTTTTTTTTGCCCCCCCAAATAGAGACCATTTTGAAGCACTTTTCTCTGGGTGGAGAGGACATTGTTGTGTTGGTCAACAGGTCTAGGCTACCTGGCTGGTGTAGCTCAGTGGATTGAGCGTGGGCCTGCGAACCAGACAATTGCGTTTCGATTCCCAGTCAGGGCACATGCCTGGGTTGCAGGCAGGTTCCCTGCAGGCCAGTTCCCAGCAGGGGACGCACAAAAGGCAACCATACATTGATGTTTCTCTCCCTCTCTTTTTCCCTTTCCCTCTAAAGATAAATAAATAAAATATTTTTTAAAAAAAGAGGTCTAGGCTAGAGTTGGCCCTGCTACTCACTCATGATTGGGCTTTGTCACACACACATACACCCCAGGGATGTCCAACCTTTTGACATCTTTGGGCCACACTGGAAGGAGAGTTGTCTTAAGCCACACATTAAATACATAAACACTAACAAAAACTGATGAGCAAAAAAAAAGATTTTAAGTAAATTTACGATTTTGTGTTGGGCTGTATTCATAGCCATTCTGGGCTGCCTGTGGTCTGCAGGCAGCAGGTTGGACACCCCTCTGGTCATCTGCTCCGTAATAGGGAGGATTGGGCTTAAACTATCACAAAAGTTGTTCAGGATCAAAAATCACAGAAGTTTACCTTTGGTTAGAATCTTGTAATTAGCATATATGTATATATATATATATATATATATATATATACACACACATATATATACACATACATATACGGAATTAAGTTTCAGTATCCACTTTAAAGCTAAGGGAGCCCCAATTCAATGTTTGTTTGTTTTTTTTAAATAGGAAGGATTAAAACTTGAGTGTTAGAGGTTTGGGCCAAAATACTCTGTAACCAAAATGTTAGCTAACTTCTGTAAGCTTTGCTGTAGTTTCCAATTATTATTGCACTGCATTTAGACCAGGATAGACATTTTATACATGAAGGTATAGATGAACTCTCCATGTTTGATAAGTTTACGGCAGACTAGGGCCTGTGCTTGCCTATCTAGTACATTTTCCACAGCACTGCCCTGCTTTCTCTGGTCCTAATGAGATACTATTTTTATTTTCATGTTTTTAAAAAGATGTTATTTATTTATCTTTAGGGGGGAAGGGAAGGAGAGAAGGAGAGGAGAGAAATATCAATGTATGGTTGCCTCTCGTGGGTCCCCTGCTGGGAACTAGCTTGCAACCCAGGCATGTGCCCTGACTAGGAACCGAACCATGATCCTTTGGTTCGCAGGCCCGCGCTCAATCCACTGAGCTACACCAGCCAGGGCTAGTTTCATGTTTTAAGAGAAGCTTTATAACTTGGTCACCACCAGCCATGCACTATCCCGGTAGTATTGAACTTTCTTCCTAGTGCTTATAGGATCAGGACTAACTTGTAGAATTGGTTATTCTGTCAGCATTCAATAATTATCCTTTCATAATTGAAAAAATTATAATTCATTAACAAATATACCAGGCACTGTTCTAAGCCCTGCATATGTATTACTTCATTCATCTGGTTCACAACTTTGCTGCAATAAAATAGATAGAATAGCAACTGAAGGCCAGAGAATTTGAATAACCTACCTAAGGTAGTCAGTTGCAGAGTTGGAATTTGAATGGAGTCAGTTCCAACATCTGTGCCCTCCAGCATCTCTGTTCTTGAGTATCATGCTGTTCCAGCTTCTGTATATTTCAGGAATAATTGGAACCATTCAACAAAATGAGGTTCACTGATGACCTTTTACAGCAAACCTCATTATGGAATTGACTCATGTTACCTGGGCCCTTGGATCTCTCAGATTTGTACTTAATCTAACTTTTAATAGCAGTTTCCAGTGTAACTCTAAAAATGAGGGCTTTAGACATAAAGACAGCATATTGTACGAGTTCATTTATATAAAGTGTCCAGAATGGGCAAATTTATAGAGATAGCAAATTTGTGGTAGCTGAGCATCTGGGAGAATGGGGAGTGATGACTGGCTAATACTGGTACTGGATTTCTCTTTTAGGGTGATGAAAATATTCTAAAGTGATTGTGGTTATGCTAGCACAATTCTATGGATATACTGAAAGCCATTAAATTAAGTTGTACACTTGAAAATAGTGAGTTGTATAATATGTGAGTTATGTCTCAATAAGGTAGTTAAAAAGGTGAAAGTGAGGACTTTCCTCTCTTTCGATTAAAGTTGAAAATTTTAAATGAGGATTGAAGAAAACAGGAAGATTTCTCTTTTATGGTTTATAAACAGGAACAGGGAAATGAAGACTGAGTTGACTGCATAACCTAACATTTTAAATGTCTTCTGTTGACTTGAAGTAATAATTTAACTTTTGTTTGAAAACACTGAGTTGTTCAAATTGTTACAGAACAGAGGTCCAAGGGAGGACAATATTTGGCCCACCCACGGATGCCAAAAACTGCTACAGAACAAGCAGTGGCCAAGGTTCATTATGTCCACAGCCCTCTTGGAAAGACATCTCTCAATGCCAGAGATTTGTGAAAAGGAAAGGAAAGGTTTATTTAAAGCTATACAGACTTAAAGTAGTGACCCAGTGTCCCCATTAAAATATCAAAGCCCTTTAGGATATCCACAGATGCACACAGCACTTCCTTCTCCCCCTGCCCTAATTCAGGGTACTATAACTCAGGAAACGAAGCAAAAGTCTGGGACCCAGGCTCCTGCCACCGTCCACTGTGCCACCGTCCAGGCAGGATCTCTAATTAATCCAAAGCCATGTGGCACCTTCTCATGGTCCACTGGCAGGAGTTCTTTGTACTCAGTTCCAGTCAAAGTCTCTCTCTTGCTTTCCAGGCCATGCAGGTAAAGGGGGCACCCCCAAGCCACGTGGGCCTCTTCTACCAAAGCTTCAGGGGTCTGCATTCTGGCCAAACCATGTGGATCTCTTTTCTTCCACCAGAACCAAGAGGGGGTCCTCATTCTGGCAAAGCCTCGTGGTTTTCTTTTTCTTCTTTCATGGCTGCGGGGATCCCCACTCTGGCTAAGCCCATGGTTCTCCCTCTTCTTGGCAAAGCCAAGAGGGGGTCCACACTCTGCCAAAAGCACATGGCTCTCTATCAATGGCTGCTGTGTCTGGGTTTAAATCCCCACACCAATCTTCCTCTGTACCCCCATTTCCGACTCTTCCTATAATCTGTTACACCTGCCAGCATTCCTGTATTATTCCAAGTTTACTGGGCTGCCATTGTAAGTCTGGGCAGGTGTGGCCCCATGTCATGGAGCCAATCACCTCCAAGCTCTCAGGCAGGCACAGTAACGTGGGAGACCTGCCTCCCAGTTATGTCTTTGTGGGGGGGGGAGTCCCTTTCCATCCCCCTGGCTCAGAGCATGGCCAAAACTATTTAACATATCTATGCAGCCAGTTAAAGCTTATAGATATGTTAAATGACCATGCTAGAGGTTAGCTGCAAAGCCTTTGCCGTACAAAACAGCTCTCAATAGCCCTGCTCCATTTGTCTCTTCCCCAACTCACACCTGTGGGGGGAAAGGGTTGAGAACATCTTAATATTTCCTGGACACCTTGAATTCTGGACCCCATTCTAAATCCCTTTTTGTGGCCCCCCTCTTGGCTGTACCATGTAACAAAATGTTTTAAATGTTATACTATTTGATTACTAAAAAGTAATTTTATATCTATTACTGAATAAAATCACCCAAATATATAATCTTGTTTAGTTAACAGAATAATTTTAGGGCATAAATATCTGGTTTGCTCTATCTTGTCTTATTCATTCTGCTGTTTCAGAATAATGTGTTATTTTGCTGGGATTTGAACTTAGGTTAGAGAAATTTTTCAAGACTATTTTGTCTGAATTTAATTCATTGTAGAGTTATCATTTATTAATCTATTTTAAAAGTTATCTCTTAATTTTAGGTTGTGCCATGTCTTAGTAGTTTCAAGTTTTTGAAGTTTAGTGTCCTGTTTTATAAAGAAGTATTGTATTTTGCCCTGATTGTTAATTTTTAAAGCTCAGCAGTAGTTCCCTGGGATTTGGTGAACCAATATACCATCTAAACCCAACATGATGTTTCAAAATACTGTGTATTTTACACACAGTCATTCATTCACCAAATAGTCATGAGTGACAACTGTGTGGTAGAATACAGCCATGACCCAGGTAGAACCCCAGCCTTGCTCTTGGAGAGCTGAATTCGGGCAGTGGGGATGAGGGAGTCTGGCAATCCTAATCTTATATATAAGATTGTCCTCACCTGGCTTCTTCATCCTGGTGGTTGCCCTTATCTGCATCTTGTCATCTGTCTTGGGCCTTATTTAAGGTCAGTGACTAACACTGCAAAGCTATAAAATCCCTAGGTTTTATACTATGGCGTGTGTTAATAGTCTCTATGTGGGACTTATTTAACAAGTGAATACTCATTTAATGACCCTGGAAAAAAGATCCCACAAACACCAGCAATCACCTTGTTGAGTTGGATGCTGTGTACCTCCCTGTGACTTCATATGTATCTCTGTCATTAACTTTGATATGATAACTGAAGCATTGCTTAGTTTTCTGTTGTTGCTGTAATCTTCCCAACTATAAATCTTGTGTTAAAATAATATTGTTAATGTTTTGAATATGATGCTTTCATTTATGTCTGAATTGTGATGAATATGCATTATTTAAATGAAGTATATGCTTTCCTTACAAAATACCGATTAAATCAAATCTTACTAATTTGATTTCCATCAAATCTATGCCACTTTAAATTGCCTTAATTTGGAAAAAATAGAATTCTTAAGGGGGAAAATACAGTGGTCCAATTGTCTACCCTTTTATTGCTCTGCTACCTCTAAATAATCTTTAAAAAATTAAGAGGTGTGGAAATTTGAGGCCTGTTACACAATTACTAAAGATTAAGATTAAGGGGTTTTTAAAGATTTTTTAGATTTTTTATTTTTAGACAGAGGGGAAGTGGGGGAGAAAGAGGGAGAGAAACATCAATGTGTGCCTGCCCTCATGTGCCCCCTACGAGGGATCTGGCCTGCAACCCAGGCATGTGCCCTGACTAGGAATCAAACCCACAACCCACTGGTTTGCAGCCTGCGCTCAATCCACTGAGCCACACAAGTCAGGGCATATTAAGTTCTTTTAGATGACAATTTGAATGCTAAGACTAAAAAATTTAGGGATATGTGTCTTATTTTCTGCTAAGCTCCTCCACCATGCATACTCAGCTAGCTGCCCTTTCCTGTTCTTCCATAGTACCCTGCACTATGCTTAGTTCTTTGTGTGTGTCATTCCCATTGGAGACTACTATGGAAATAGGGCCTGTAAGGTGTAGTACTATTGGTTTTCAACTGTGGTATTTAAATATCAGGTATTGCATATGTTTGAAAGTCCATACAATTCAGTTGATACTGAATGTTGTCTTTCTCGGTACAGTTTCCAGTATGGCTTCTGCACCAAATTCTAAATATAATACACGCTCCTTGGAGAATGAGTCTATTAAGAGGGTAAGTTGTGTTTTCATATTTATCCTATTTCTTTCTCTGCATTTCTCTTTTCATATTTATAAATTAGGCAGTCATTTTGAGTTTATGAATTATTAATTATATTATTCACATAATGTAAATACTTTAATATTTGTGGTTTTATTTATTATTTTACTGCGTTCTAGAAAAGACAGACTATCTTATATGTATTGCATGAGTTTTGTTTGTAAGTTTTTTCATGTAACTTCATCTTTTAGTACCTCTGTTGTGTCTATTATATTTGAAGTACTAGTCATTCCTTGCCCCTGAAATTTTTCTGAAAGAGATATTAGAAAACCATGGCTCACTGAGAAACTTGTTAAATCTTCCTAAATGTTGGCATTATTTACTAATTATCATAATAAAATAGTTGTGTGACCAAAAAAAATACAGCCTTAATAGAAAATGGTTCAAAGCATTGAAGAGAAAATTGTGTAATTACAGAGAGCTTTTGGAACATATATTGAAAGTAAGGGATGGATTTAAAATAAACTTTATTGATGGCCCTTTCTGGCTTTTGATACATATTCTTGATTATCTGCCAGAAAGGTTAACTTACACTCCCAATGGCAGTGTAAGGGGATGCAATCAAAGGGAGCAAACTGGTATTTTTTAGTTTGTATTTCCCTGATTACTAACAAGCTTGGCCTTTTAAAAAGAAGAAGAAGAAAAAACATGGTTTTTGTCTATTTGTATTTCTTTTGTGAAGTAGCTGTTCATGTACTTTGCCTATTTGCCTTTGGGATATTTGGGAGTTTTTTTCCCCTATTGATCTGTAAGTGTTCTTTCTATGCTATTATTAACTGTTTATATTATATATTACAAGTCTTTGTACTAATTATTTATTTTTTTTATTGACTATATTCTCTGAGCTTTACACTATATCTTTGTGGCTTGCACATTTTATTTTATTCTTTAAGTATTTTTTAGTGACACATTTTATTTTTTTAAAGATTTTATTTACTTATTTTTGGAGAGGGGAAGGGAGAGACAAAGAGGAAGAGAAACATTAATGTGTGGTTGCCTCTTGCATGCCCCCCTCCCACTGGGGACCTGGCCAGCAACCCAGGCATGTTCCCCGACTGGGAATTGAACTGGTGACCCTTTGGTTTGCAAACCAGCATCTAATCCACCAAGCCACACCAGTCAGGGCCATATTTTATAACGGGAAGTTTGTACCTCTTATTCCTCTTCACCTAGTTTATTGTCAGCCTTTTAACTATTATATATTTATAGTATTTTGTTTTGATTTTGAAAGTCACAGATTTAAACTTTTTATGTAATCACATCTGTCAGTCTTTTCCTATTTGATTTTCTGCTTTTGGTATCATCACCAAGATTACATAAGTTTTCATTGTATTTTATAATGTTATGGTACACAAATCAGTTCTAAACACAAGAGTAACTTCATGAAGGTAATTATAAGTCCTTGTGTAACATTAAAATAAAATATATCCTGTGTTAACCCCATGTTATCTTGTGTTAATTATTTTTTTCCTTATTTTGTAGTTGAATTATGCTTTCTTCTGACCCAGAACTTTGGTATTTGAAAGGCATACCAAATATTAAATTTGCTCATTTTACTTCTTTTTAGTTAGTTAGAAATGATGTTAAAGGATGATGGTAATTTATTTCTAGTCTTATTACTTATATAAGGTGTGTGGGGTTTGCTGCTTTTTGAGGAAGACATTCCTGTCTAGGGACATTTGTCTTGTAGTCCTAGTTAAAAATGCCTAGCTTGCAAGCACTAAAACATACTGAAAATTGGCTAAGAATTTTCATTTTATTTCTGAATAAAAAAGGTAACCATTAAAAATCTAGCAAAGCACTCCTCTTTGACAGCTTATATTTTACCTAAATATGCAATTCACATATCTCTCATAATAATACTTTACATTTGCATAGCCCTTGTTAATTCACAAAAGTTTGCTTGTATGTTTTGTTTCACTTAATATAGTCACAGAACCCCTTTGAGGGAAGATTTAACTAGCTTCACACATGAAATGATTGCAGTATAACTTTGGAAAACAACTAGAAAAAAATGAATAAAAAGTAATGCTGAAAAAACCTTTTGCCCAAACAGATTTAATGATGTGCCTCATTTACCCTACATTGGACACAAGCAGCCCATCATTGGTATAAATCAACTAGGGCATTTGAAGAGATTGAGACACCTTATCAGGCATGCAAGTCACAATTGCCAATTATAGCAAATCAGCCTCTTAGAATTCTCCTGTGGATTTTATTTTTAAAATATTTTATTTATTTTTAGACAAAGGGGAAGGGGAGGAGAAAGAGTGGGAGAGAAACATCATTCTGTGGTTGCCTCCCGCATACCCCCTACTGAGGACCTGGCCTACAACCCAGGCAATGTGCCCTGACTGGCAATTGAACTGGGGACCCATTGATTCACAGGCCTATGCTCAATCCACTGAGCCACACCAGTCAGGGCTCCCCTGTGGATCTTAGTGGTTAATACTTGCCTGCCAGAGGGAGCCACTGTAACCATTGAATAAAGCACATGCCTGGGGATACCTCTAAAGCCAGGAGGCCTAGAGACATAGAACAGCAATGGGAAGAATTTGTGTAGATGGTACCTAAGGCTCTTGTCAGCATCAAAGTTCAATGACAGACCCCTTTCTTTCTTATCAAGTTACTTACTGGGCAAAGGATCTTAGTAAAATAAGGGACCTAATATGTAATAACCAAGTATGTTATTTTCTGGAATTGTAAGATTACTGTTTCTTACAATTGCCGTTGCTGTGATTACTGTTGCTCAGTTAAGGCCCCAATGAAAGAAGTTTTCATTACTACTATAAAAAAAAGATAAATAACTAAATATTTAATATAAAAAAAGCTGCCACAGTATATGTGTATCTATAGAATACATTTAATATTTACTTTTTATCATTTCCCTGAATGCTGTACATCACGAAGTGCTGGGAAGGGGCATTTAAACATTAATATTAAAAAGTGTGCTGATACTGACTTCCAATCAAGATGGAGGCATAGGTAAACAAGGCTTGCCTCCTCGCATAACCATGAAAAACATTACAACTAGACTACAAAACAAATATCACACAGTATCATCAGCAAATTGAGCTGCATGAAAGTCTAACAACCAAGCAATTAAAGAAGCCACATACATCCAGATGTATAGGAGGCATGAAGATGTAGAGACACGTGGAGAGGCATGGAGGCACACAATGAGCAGTCTCACACCAACGTGTGGTGGATAAAAACCAGGAGGGATACCTGGGGAGTGAAGGATCCCAGCCCCACACCAGATCATCCAGCTCAGGTTCCAGTGCCAGAAAGATAAATCCCCATAACTTCTGGCGGTAAAAACCAGCGGAGGTTGGGGCAGTGGAAGAGACTGGGATTTCCAACAATCTCCTCTTAAAGGGCTCGCAGTGGACTTAGGACTTATGCAGACTTACTCCCTCTGGGCTTTAGCACCAGAGCAAGAGCTGGAATGGCACCATTGGCATACAGGGAGAAATTGAAGTGTCTGGCATCAGGGTGAGTTCTGGGAGACAGCTTTCTTCCAGACAAAACTCCAGAGGCTAGGCAGCAACATTGTCCCCTCTCTGAGCCCTCCTCTACACAGAGCCACAAAGCAGCAACATAGGTGGCCCCACCCCGGTGACCGAGGCTCCATCTCATACAACTTACCCAAATGAAAGATCAGAACAAAACTCCAGAAAAATAACTAAATGAAATAGAGATAAGCAACCTATCAGATGCACAGTTGAAAATACTGGTTATCAGGATGCTCAAGGAACTCATTGGATACCTTATCAGCATTAAAAAGACCAAGCAGAAATGAAGGTTACATGAAGTGAAATAAAGAAATATTTACAGGGGACCACCAGTGGAGTGGATGAAGACAAGAATCAAATCAATGATTTGGAACATAAGGAAGAAAAAGACATTTAACCAGAAAACAAGAAGAAAAAAGAATAATAATTTTAAAAAACCTAGGATGGGCTAAGGAGTCTCCAGGATATCTTTAAACATACCAACATTCTCATCACAGGGGTGTCTGAAGGACAAAAAAAAAAGAACAAGAAAATTGAAAACTTGTTAGAAAAAATAATGAAAGATAACTTCCCTAATTTGGTGAAGGAAATAGACAAATAAGTCCAGGAAGCACAGAGTCCCAAAATAGATGGACCCAAAGAGGACCACACCAAGACACATCATAAACAAAATAGCCAAAGGTTAAAGATAGAGAATCTTAAAAGCAGGAAGAGAAGAGTTACCTACAAGCAAGTACCCATAAGACTGTCAGCTGATTTTTTAAAAAGAAACTTTGCAGGCTACAAGAGACTGGCAAGAAGTATTTAAAGTGATGAAAAGCAAGGACCTACAGCCTACATTACTGTATCCAGGAAAGCTATCATTTAGAGTGGAAGGGCAGATAAAGTGCTTCCCATTTCTATGCTTTTGCTCCTGATCTAGCTGTCCTCTTAATTTGCTTTTGTTTTAGGTGTGGTTGTTGATAACTGTGAGTTTGCTGTCCTTTCACCGTTCATCTTTTTTATCTTCTTTTTCTTAGGTGAGTCCCTTTAACATTTCATATAATAAGGGCTTAGTGATGATGAACTCCTTGAATTTGATCTTATCTGAGAAGCACTTTATCTGTCCTTCCATTCTAAATGAAAGCTTTGCTGGATAGATCAATCTTGGATGTAGGTCTTTGGATTTCATGACTTGGAATACTTCTTTCCAGCCCCTTCTTGCCTATAAGGTCTCTTTTGAGAAATCCGCTGAATAAAATACATTTTTTTAAAAAGTGCTTCCCAGATAAGGTAAAGCCTAAGGAGTTCATTGTCACCAAACCATTACTACATGAAATGTTAAAGGGAACTATATGAGAAAAAGACCAAAATTATGAACATTAATTTCGGGGAGGAAAGATGACAGAGGAGTGAATGGAAGCCACACTAACCTCCTCCCAGGACCAATATGGAATTACA